GAATTATTTTTAATCGTTGGGTTGCCTGTTAGAGAAAACCTTACACATTGTTCTGTATGCGCTCAAGATGGGTGTTTTTCAGGGAATTCAGTATTTTTCCAGGAAGATTGGATATTTCTACTTTCCATATACCGGTACCGGTATACTAAAATTGCCATACATTTATTGGAAATAACCACCCGATACATACTTTTCTGGGCAAGTAACTTTAAATGAAATGAAATGAAATGGGGTTTAACGTCCTACTGTTCTGCTCCTATACTGGGCTAATGAAGATGGGCATACGCCATACAGTGTGCTATGAGGGAAATTTTGCCCGGGAAGCGGCACCATCGCCTACTCTTATATCGAATTCCAACTGCCAGGGGATCTTTTTTTACGTGCATTCTAATATATACACGGGACCTCGGTTTTTCGTCTCATCCAAAGAACAAAAGTAACTTTAAAGATAACCAATTATTTTTTCAAGCTTTCGATCGATATTTATTCTCTTCTTACTCTTGGAGGAGATAAATATATAATTTAATTTGCAGAAGAAAAAAAGTTAATATCGAGACCGAATCCATATCAGGGCAGCCACAGTGGGTCAGTGGGTAGGTAAGACACTGGCTCGCTAGCCTGGGTTCAATACCGATGTTGGCCGAGAAAGTTCATCGGAATTTTCCGGTGTGGTTTCGCCTTGTCATTGGTGCAGGATAGAAGGCTAGGCAAGGACAGCTGCCTAGTCATTCGGATGGGTCAAAAAAATGAGATGTCATGTACACATTGGCGTGCACGTAAAAGATCTGTTGACAGTTGGAATTTGGTACAAGAGTAGGCCATAGTGCAGCTGTCCGGGCAAACATTTCTCTCATAGCACACGGTATGGCATATGCCCGTCTTCCTTAGCGAAGTCAGAGCAGAACAGTAGCTCGTAGGACGTTAAACCCCATTAAATTTCATTTCATCCATATCAGTGATACTAATGGCCAAGCGAATATATGCTGTATCATACGGTGTGTCATTGAGTCAACTGGCGTGGTTTCGAATCCCCGGTTGTACGTGACAAGGAGTAGGGTCGCCTGTCCAACCTCGTGGGTTTCCTACCACTGCTAAAGACCGCTACGCGCAAGTGAATTATTGAAATAAAATTAAACCATATGTTAGTCCCGAAATGACCTAGTTTGTGTCGAGTGGAGGTTAAAAACCCCATTTCTCTCTCTCTCTCTCTCTCTCTCTCTCTCTGTAATGCGTTGAGACCCATTTGTGTCAATTTCTAGGTACCAAATATTAGTGATTTAGCTCCATTCAGTTCATAAAAAAAGATTGTTTGAATTTTGAAGCTTTACATCTTGTGGATTAAAAATAAAATTGGATAGCTCATTCATAGACCAGACAATGGGACGGGCGGGGGCGACCACAAAAATTCAATCAAGACCATGCGATCCAACTGCATCAATCTACCATTAATTTGTAAAGAAATTCAACCTTTACATTGATTCAGTGTAAAAAAAAAAAAAAAATATACCATCAATATATATTAACGGTCTCATCCAGTCCATGTCATTTTTTAGAATCTAGAACAACAAACAATATTTACCTTCAACTTCTGCTGTCAGTTTCAGTTGTATTTACATGGTATATTCAAATTAAGGTTCAAAAATATAAACGAAACGAAATGACACATAAATTGTGACAAGGGTCAATATATATTTTAAATTTAAATTGATGATAATATTGCTCGCATCTAATAACATGTCTAATATCAATTTAGAATTATCTGCAACAGAAATATCCTTACTATAAATACACCGTATGGTTGATTTCTTTCCGTAAACCTGCATTATTATTTTTAACCATCGATTTTTAGCCTCAGCTTAAAACAGGTTGTCTTGATTCATGATTGACGCATGCACACCGTCATTGATTCAGGCCTATTTAATTATTATGCAAAGATATTTGTTACGTATTGAAGTCACTTATAATTTCACTGACACTGTATATAGATGTTAGCCTGTGTCAGAATCTAAGAGTTCAGTATGAGTTTTGATAATTTGACATGGCTTTTTGGCGGGAAAATTGTTCAGTTCCGCATGAACACGTGTTCACTCGGGAGCATTCAAATACAGAGGCGGTTAGGCAATTAACCGCCTACCCTGCCCTCATAGCAAAAGAAACTTGAATTGGTTTATAACGCTCGAATCTGATGCGATTTCCTACCAGGTTTAGGATGACCCGTGCACTTTACAGAAAGTTGGTCTCGACACGGCTAAATGTGCACGCTTCAGTTGCGTGTCTCGAACTGATTTCTGACTACCCCGCACTCGCTTTGAGTCGATAAATAGCCATGGCACGTGCAATTCTCTACAAATATATCAACTATTACAGCCGTAAAAAATCTAATGTTGACGATTTTGAATAGCAGTAAAATTTAGCTTCTTGTTTATTACAGCAGCTTTAGTAATTACGTTTGTTTTATTTTTTAAATTGCTTTATCATTAACTGTAACGTTAAGAGCAGCATCTTTTGGTTTAGTACAAATACTATCTCTGAATCACTTTCTTTAGCAGGAACATGATACTAGCAGTAGTTTCATTTTACTTTTACAAGTTTCTTAAAACAATTGTTGAGTTGTCTAAAGTGCTTATTTCTAAATTCAATTTCTTGTTCTAGCTTTCTGTTATGTTTCGTAAAAAAGTAGTCTTGATTATCCCGACCTGTCAATCAGACGTAGAATGGTCGATAGACTGGTTAAGCGAGACTAATTTCAAAACAAGGGCACGTAACCTATATTTTACTCAAAAGTGTCTGGATGTTATGGACGCAACTTGGAACCAGTTTTCAGTCTATTATTTATAGATGATTAATGGTCATAGCTTATTAAGTACAACATGATCGTTTATTTAGTGACTATAATTGTGTGAAACTGATTTGAGGCTTGGCATATATATAAATATTGTGGCGTAATTGTCGAGATATTTGGAGATATTTATTTATGGTGGGCCACCCTACCAGGTTAAGGTGGTGTGTGTGTGTGTGGCTATGTGTCCCCCCTTCCGAAAATGTGCACTCTCGACCTTCAGAAAAGGTGCCATCGAATTTCGACAGAGTTACCGCAAATACTCAAGGAAATGGCCTAACGTCCAATCACAGCATTGTGCCCAATTTTTATGTTGTCTTTCCCTTGTTGTTGCAACCAAACCCATATGTGAAAACCCGAACTGGTTCAAACATTTAAAATATGTATCACGACTACCATTATGATGCCCCCTCCCAATCTGTTAAAACACAGATCCAATTTTGTGTGGTATTCTGTTCTTCAAAATTTTGTTTAAACTTGTCACTACACCAGGATCTGGAAGAGGTGTTAAATACATGTGACTCATTCGTTCTGTTAAGGTAGGATGATCCGTGCACTCTACAGAAAGTTGGTCTCGACACAGCTAAATGTGCACGCTTCAGTTGCGTGTCTCGAACTGATTTCTGACTACCCCGCACTCTCTTTGAGTCGATAAATAGCCATGCACGTGCAATTCTCTACAAATATATCAACTATTACAGCCGTAAAAAATCTATCGTTGACGATTTTGAATAGCAGTAAAATTTAGCTTCTTGGTTATTACAGCAGCTTTAGAAATTAAGTTTGTTTTATTTTTTAAATTGCTTTATCATTAACTGTACCGTTAAGAGCGGCATCTTTTGGTTTAGTACAAATAATATCTCTGAAACACTCGGGTTAGACAAGAACATGATACTAGCAGTAGTTTCATTTTACTTTTACAAGTTTCTTAAAACAATTGTTGTGTTGTCTAAAGTGCTTATTTCTAAATTCAATTTCTTGTTCTAGCTTTCTGTTCTGTTTCGTAAAAAAAGTAGTCTTGATTATCCCGGCCCGTCAATCAGACGTAGAATGATGGATAGACTGGTTAAGCGAGACTAATTTCAAAACAAGGGCACGTAACCTATCTTTTACTCAAAAGTGACTGGATGTTATGGACGACACTTGGAACCAGTTTTCAGTCTATTATTTCTACATGATTAATGGTCATAGCTTATTAAGTACAACATGATCGTTTATTTAGTGACTATAATTGTGTGAAACTGATTTGAGGCTTGGTATATATATAAATATTGTGGCGTAATTGTCTAGATATTTGGAGATATTTATTTATGGTGGGTCACCCTAGTTAAGGGGTGGGTGGATGGCCGAATGATTTGCATGTGCTGCATCATAAGGTCTGTCACTTAGTCAACAGCTGTGGTTTCGATTACTCAGTTGTACGTGACAAGGAGTAGGGTTGCCTGTCCAACCTCGTGGGTTTTCTCCTGGTCCTCCAGTTTCCTCCCACTGTTAAAGACTCTTACATGCAAGCGAGTTATTGAAATATAATTGAATCATGTGGTAGTCCCGAAATGACCAAGTTGTGTTGAATGGACATTAAACCCCATTTCTCTTTCGCTCTCTGTTAGGATGTCCTCACCGTTCCTATTAAGCTGTGCTAAGTGGGAGGTCGCGTGTTCGATCCCTACATTGGCCGAGAAAGTTCATCGTGATTTTCCGACGTGGTTTCCCCTTGTCAGTGATGCAGGACGGAGGGCCTGACAAGGACAGGACCAGTGTATACATTGGTGTGCACATAAAAGATCCATTGGCAGTTGGAATTTGATATAAGAGTAGCACACTGTATCATATGCCCGTCTTCATTAGCCCTGTTGGGGGTGGGGAGAACAGTAGGATGTTAGTCACCATTTCATTTTATTTTTATTTCTATTAAGCTGCAATATGAGAGAGATAGAGAAATGGGGTTTAACGTCCACTCGACACAAACTAGGTCATTTCGGGACTAACATATGGTTTAATTTTATTTACATAATTCGCTTGCGCATAGGGGTCTTTAGCAGTGGGAGGAAACCGGAGGACCCGGAGAAAACCCACGAGGTTGGACAGGCGACCCTACTCCTTGCCACGTACAACCGGGGATTCGAAACCATGCCAGTCGACTCAATGACAGACTATGAAATATCTCTCTACCCCCATCTCTGTTCTAAGGCTTTTTTTTGAATCCTTACCTTCTTTTTTTTCACTTTTATTCTTCTTTTTTCGCCAAAAGAAATTATTTCTCGCCACATCTGACATAAATTTACAATAATTCACCACTATTTTTGAGTAGAATTTCGCGATTCAAAAACATAAAACAAATTACGTTTCAATAGGTCCGACATTATGAAACTTGTTTTTACGCAAACCGGAGGTTGTGGGATCGTGGCATAATCGCAAAATTCTACTTGAAAATAGGGTTGAATTATAAATTTCCCCACGAGGGTGGACAAAAGACCCAAGACCGGGGATGATGTGGCTAAGTGGGTAAGAGTAAGACGCTGGCTCGCTAGCCTGGAGGTCGGGTGTTCGATTCCTGCATTGGCCGAGAAAGTTCATCCAGATTTTCCGTTGTGGTTCCCCCTTGTCAGTGATGCCGGACAAGGACAGCTGTCTAGTTGTTAGGATGGGACGAAAAAACGAGGTCTTGTGTATATATTGGAATGCACATAAAAGATCCCCTGGCAGTTGGAATTCGATATAAGAGTAGGCAATAGTGCAGCTGCCCGGGCAAAATTTCCCTCATAGCACACTGTATGGCGTATGCCCGTCTTCATTAGCCCAGTTCAGAGTCATTTCCTGTCAAGTACAAGCTGAGAATCGAACCCACGCCACTTGACAGGCCTTGTCATCTAATACCCATGCATCCATCCAACCTCCCCGGGGGCAAATTGGAATTCAAAGAGGACACACATAGAGAGTAGACTAAAAAAAATGACCCAAGTCAGAACAAAATGGGAAATCTAATTTTATTTTGATTGCTTGAAACCAGATCAAAATAGAGGCATCATGTATAATATAAAGAGTGCTGTAAATTTTATATAGAAGTCACTTAACCCATTAAGCGTGACGTTTTTAAAACGTTAACTATCCCCTATTGTGTAATTGTGACGAAGAACTATGTACTATGTTCTAAGAATAGGTTGGGGAAAATACCTCTGAGGCGTCATATTACGTCCTACACACAGTGAGTGGCAGTTGTCCTGGACGTTATATAACGACCTACGCACTTAATGGGTTAAAGAGCTAAATTTGCCTATTGCAGGTCTTTATCTTGAATTCAAATGTTATAAATTATTATTTAAACATTTATTGGCATGACAAGCCCATAATCAACTATCTGGCCCATTGGGTGGCTCCGATTTTAAGTAGATTAGAACGCTGTGGCAATTTAATGAATTAATTAAAAACTGGAGAAGCGAGGCTAAATCTTGAATAACAAGTACCGTTGTTACAATTATGAACAACCAATTCACACATCTTGACAACTACCAACAGTGATAATTTCGCTCAGAATATAGTAATTTTCAATATATTCATTTTACATTATCTAATTTTGAACTATTACAGCAAAGACAGACAATCTTCATTACGCATCTACCTGGATCAAACACAGGACATTCAGGCTAGCGAACCAGGGGGGTTGGATGGCCAAATGGTAAGCACGTGCATGCTGTATCATACGGCCTGTCATTGAGTCAACTGGCGTGGTTTCGAATACCCAGTTGTACGTGACAAGACGTAGGGTCGCCTGTCCAACCTCATGGGTTTTCTCCGGGTCCTCCGGTTTCCTTCCACTGTTAAAGACCCCTACATGCAAGCGAATTATTGAAATAAAATTAAACCATATGTTAGTCCCAAAATGACCTAGTTTGTGTCGAGTGGACATTAAACCCCATTTCTCTCGCTAGCGAACCAACGTAGTGTGAATTTTCATGTGAGCTTTAAAAGAATTACTGGAAGTGAACGATACGCTACAAGTCTCACATTTATAACCTTTATCTTTAGAATGAACTCTCAGATGTTGTTGAAGATTGCTATTAGTATAAAATGTCCTACTACAAACATCACATCGAAACATCTTCTCCCCGGTATGACCTCTCATGTGGACTTTGACCGAACTATTTGACGTGAAGAATTTACCGCAAACATCACATCTATAAGGTTTTTCTCCCGTGTGGATCCGGATGTGCTGTTGAAGATTTCCATTCGAATTAAAAGATTTTCCGCAGTATTCGCACTTAAAGAGTTTTTCGCCCGTGTGAATTTTTACGTGCACTTGGAGTCCGCCATTAGTATTGAATGACTTGCCACAAACATCACAATTATAGTTTTTCTCACCTGTATGAATTCTAATATGGCGTCGAAGAGTGCTGCCGTGAACAAAAGCCTTCCCGCATTCTTCACATTTATTGTATTTTTCGCCCGTATGAATAGCTAAATGATATTTGAGGTTGCAGCTTTCGCTGAAAGACTTGCCGCAAGTAGGACATTTAAAAAGTTTCACACCAATATGAGTGTTATTTACATGACGCTGGAGATGACCTTTACAAAAAAATGCTTTACTGCATATTTCGCATTCAAACTCTTTGACGCCGGTATGAATCTTAAAGTGTTTTTGTAATCCAGAACTAATGTGGAACGCTTTACCGCAAACAGAGCAGACGAACGGTCGCTCGTTCGTATGAATTCTCATGTGTCGCTCCAAAGATCCGGATAATCGAAAAGATTTGTTACAGACACCACAGATAAATGGTTTGTCTCCGGAATGAATAGATTTATGAATTTGTAGATAGCTTTTCAGTGCAAATGATTTACTACAAACATCACATTTATAATGTTTTTTCCTGGTATGAATTTGAACATGCCTTTTAAGATCTCCATTTAAATTAAATGATTTACTACAAACATCACATTGAAACATCTTTGAATCTGTTGCTGGTGCATCTATTTCGTTACAGTTTCATCATTTTTCTTCAGTTTAATCGGCAAATCGTTAGATTTAGTAAAATTCTTATCACACACAATTATTTCTTGGTTAAGATCCATGGTTTCACCATTTTCAATCTTTAATATGTCATCATTGAGTTTTGTACAGGTATTTGGTATAGTTGTATTTTCACTCATAGTATTTGGTATAATTGCCTCGTGGTCTCTTCTATTAGGATTTTCTCTCAAATTATTGTGTATACCTGTCTCTGAGTGTCTTGTATTATAATCTGCACTCAAATTATTTTATGTATTTGTCTCTGGGTCTACCATTTTAGGGTTTCCACTCATATTTTGCATATCTGTCTTTGTTTTTTTTTTATTTGTATCTCGGTCTCTTCTTCTAGGACTTTCACTCATATTATTAGCCTGGAGTTTATCAGAATTAGTGTCTATTCTTTTAGGACTTCCACTGATGTCACTGTTGTCTTTATGACTGTTCTTTTGGGTCTTCCACTCATGTCATTGTTGTATTTATGACTGTTCTATGAGGTCTTCCACTCATAGTATTTTACACATTGTATCAGGTTCGCATCTACTCTTGGAGCATTTTTTTTAGAACTTTCATTTGTATTTTTTTCAAATTGTCTCTCGAAGTATTCTTTTAGGACTTTGACTGATAATCAGTAACAGGCTGGTGGTAGAAATGATGTTTTTCTTTTAAATTTTGAGCGTCAGTCATTGAATATTTCCAGCTCTGTATTTCTCAATAAAATCTGTTCCCTGAAATCAAAGACAGAATAAGAGATAATCAGGAGCGTTTTGAGGTTTATCATGGCGGAGGCTATACTATTTTGAGGGCCCTCTTTTGCGGGGGTGGTCTGGCGGGTTCTCTGCCCCTGGCCACCAGAGGTCGAGAAATTTTGCGAAATAGAAAACATTTTGGTGCATTTTGACATATCTTCCAGCCTCCTCAAAAGCGGATTAATCTGAGGGCCGGGGCCGGATCAATCTAAGGCCCGGGCCTAATTCAGCAAAGAAATGATTGCTCTGCCTAGCCATCTCTTTCCTGAATAGCTTATTAGTAGGTTTTCAGAAAAGGTGATTGATTGATGATTTTCATGCCAGTGCAATGACTGCATTCTCATTCAGTAGTGGATTCGACAGTAACAACAGTGTATAGAAAACAATTGACAAGAACTCGGGGGCCCTTTGCCTTGGCCAGAGGGGCCCTTTTGTCTGCCTTTAGGGCTCTCCCTAACTAGGGTACATTTTAATTTGACTCATCGGTTTTAGCATTTTTCTCCCGTTTTATTTTTCCAACTTCTTTGATTTTTTTTTGCGAGGAGACTGGCGCCTGCAGCGCCTTAGCTATAAACGCTTTTGGAGATAATTTCATAGATGACGATATTTTAGTTTTAAAGGAGCTAAATCGCTAATGTTTGGGACCTAGAAATTGATCCAAATGGGTCTCAACGTATATAATAATGTAATCTGATTGTATATAAACTAATTTACATTCAATTGTTTCCGTTTTGACTCAAATTTCAAATCAGTTATCTCCAGCGAAATATGGCATGAGTCTCAACCGAATCGCTATTTCTAGCGTCTGGTTATTCCAGTCTATTGCGCATGCTCTCTAGCGTCACGGTTTGACATGAGTTGTGGAATATGTCTAGCCTCATTCTTTCTGGTCACTTGTTACAAATGACACTGAAACGCACTATGGTACACGATTTGTGTACCAATGGTAAAATGTTTATTTTGTCTTAAATATTGGATTTCAGAAGCATACCTTTTCCCGGTAAGATCACAACATCAATGTTAATTTGAATTGACAAATATATTGTGTTTTTAACGTGTGAGACTTTAGATGATATTGAGTTAGAGACTTAGCTTCTTCAACCACGACGGAAAATCCTGATGAACTTTCTCTGCCAATGCAGGGATCAAACACTCGACCTCCAGGCTAGCGAGCCAGCGTCTTACCCACTTAGCCATCGTGGCCAATGCAGGGATCGAACACCAGACCTCCAGGCTAGCGAGCCAATGTCTTCAACACCTAGCCACCGTGGCTCCCATAAAAATATGAAAGTGGTGACTAAAATTTGATTTTGGGGATAGTTTTGGGATGTTGGTCATTCACGGAGAAAGCTTCCGGGAATTTTCATGCGTAATTTCTCATTGTCAGTGGTGCAGTACTGACGACCTTGCGAGGAATAGTATCTAGTTGTTAGGATGGGATGATAAAAACGTGTGCATGTAAAAGAACTCTTGAAAGTTGGAAGTCCAAATAACTTGATACGATTAGGCTACCTCGAGAAGGCTAGCCTACTGGTAGGCTGTAGTGCCTGCATGCATAGTGCCCACTGTTCAGGCAAAATTCCCCTCATAGCACACTACATGATGTATGCCCATCTTCATTAGGTCAGTCGGAGCAGAGCAATAGGACGTTAACGCCCATTTCATTTCATTAATTCTTTTTGATTCAATGACAAAATTTTACTTTTACTTTCAACAGCCAAGGGCCATATATTCACTATAATGTTTGAGACTGGATAACCCTACCTACTTTCCTGTGACCTAAAATCACCGCTTAAAATTGCAAGTAATATCTTAACCTGATGTCTAATAATCGATATATATCTACCAATTATTACAATAACCATTTCCATAAATCAATTTATGAATAACAAGTCCAAAACATGTAGATTTAAATGATAAAAATACTAACCTATATTGTCGTGATAAATGATGGACCAATATGGCTCGATTTAACTGGTAATCTTCGGGTGTTTTTTTTTTTACAACTTTGAGCGAAATGTCACCACTTTTGAAACAACGTACATAGTGCGAACTAGTATGTAAAATAAAATGTTGAAATCACGTGGATGTGTTGTACTTTTTTAAAAAAAAACCAACCCGCTTCCTGAAAAAGTAGCCGGAATATTTTAATCTAATGTCGCTCGTCCGCCAAGAACCTCCATTTTATCTTTTGTATACCACGTGAAATCTTCCCATTTTTTTTATATTTTACCTTTTGTATTCCACGTGCAATCTCCCCATTTTTTTATATTTTATCTTTTGTATTCCCCGTGCAATCTTCCCTTTTTTAATATTTTATCTTTTGTATATACCACGTGAAATCTTCCCATTTTTTATCTTTTGAATCGCGGTGAAATCTTCCCATTTTCTATATTTTTTCTTTTGTATACCACGTGAAATCTTCCCATTTTTTGTAAACACCGCGAAATCGTCCTATTTTAAAAATTGATTTCTACTTTTTTTTTTACACATTTTAATTAAATTAGGGCCCAAAGTCCCACTTTGCATCATAAACAGTGCCGGATTATGGTTTGGTGGGGCCAAAGGCCAAAATATTTCACGGGGCCTATAACCCAGGCATCCACCCATCCATCCATCAAATACAAAATATCAAAAGAAATAAATAACACTGGCTTCAAAATAACACGTGAAGAAATTCACAATGTAGATCCCGGATACATGCAAAGCCTACATACTTCAAACGTCTTTATTTATTTTTCTAATACATAAAAAAAAGAAATGTTCTAGAATCTAATTTGTCGGAGGAAAAAGTTATTGTTTGGGGCTCATTAAGCCGCATCGATGTCATCCTTATCAGTGATTGTTCGTAGCGGCCTAGCGAATATTCACTGCTGATCAGTGTAGCAAAATCCGGAAAATATATGGGGTTTAACGTCCCACTGTTCTGCTCCGAATGGGCTAATGAAGACGAGCACACGCCATGCAGTGTGTTATGAGGGAAATTTTGCCCGGGCAGCGTCACTATTGCCTACTCTTGTATATGCCTTTTTTGGGCCAAAGCTGAGTGGCTGTCTGAGATTACGACTATACGTTGTACCTTGCAGCAGACCCCCTCCCCACCCCTAGTGTGTATAATAAAGGCTTATAAAGGCTGGATTTTCTGGCCCCAGGTTTCAGCCGACCCAGCACTCCAGTCAGGTATTTCCTATTGAGGAAATTTAAACTCTTCTAGTTAAACTTGACCAGCGCCGGATTAACCATTTTGGGGGCCCTGGAGCCTTGAGATTGTGCACCCCCCCCCCCCCCGCCCCAGAACTTTGACAATATTATTTCACACACGTGAATGTAACTACATCAAACCTAAAATGAACTCGGCAGGGGCGGATCCAGGAATTTTTGCAGGGGGGGGGGGGTATGTTCCTGAGACAATGTATCTCCCCCCCACCCTCCCGCATGGTCTCTATCGTTATTTTGGCGTATATACATACACATTGAGCTTTTTAAACAGAGAAATCCAACACCTCGTTTGACGTCAATTTTTATTATGAATTAATACAATGACATTGTGATTCAATTTCATGGATGCAAAGCATTAATTGTGATATCACATAATGTCTATATCATTATCTCGTGCTTTGAGCGCCCATCCTGTCTTAAATCTGACGATAAAGGATAAAGCACACGGCCGAGAAACCTTTCTCATAAAAAGTGTTGATTTACAAAAAAATTTATGTAGATGAGCAGGGGGGGGGGGGTCGACCCCCCCCCCCCTCTGGATCCGCCCCTGCTCGGTGGGTTATTATTATTGGAGGGACCTTTAGTCATATCCGCGAAGGCCGTAACGTTCCGACACAGTAACCGACTGGAGTTGATTTTTGACGAACGTTAAACACGGCGGACCCAAATTTAAGTGCGTTTTGTTGGACCAAAGCCTGAAATATCTTACGTATTGTCTATACACAAATTACACTTGTAACATGGACGGGAAATCATCTTCCATTGTTCTTTTCGTTGAATAAGCAGGTCGGTTGGAGGGGGGGGGGGTCGAAACACCCCCCTGCTCAGCTACAGAAATTTTTTTGTAAATCAACACTTTTTTATGAGAAAGGTTTCTCGGCCGTGTGCTTTATCCTTTATCATCAGATTTGGGACAGGATTGGCACTCAAAGCACGAGATAATGATATAGACATTAAGTCATATCACAATTAATGCTTTGCATCCATGAAATTGAATCACAATGTCAATGTATTAATTCATAATAAAAATTGACGTCAAACGAGGTGTTGAATTTCTCTGTTTAAAAAGCTCAATGTGTATATATATACGCCAAAATGACGATAGAGACCATGCGGGGGGGGGGGGGCAGATACATTGTCTCAGGAACATGACACGCCCCCCCCCCCTGCAAAAATTCCTGGATCCACCCCTGAAGTCATGTTCAATGTTAATGCTCTCTTTTGCTGGCTTACACTAGTTTTAGTAGAAATCATAAGTGGGGTGTGTTTTCTGTGCAATGACAACAATCATGTTGAGCAAGTCATTTATAGCTCGCTAGCCTGGAGGTCGGGTGTTCGATCCCTGTATTGGCCGAGAAAGTTCATCCAGATTTTCCGGCGTAGTTCCCCCTTGTCAGTTATGCAGCAATTCGATATAATAGCAGGCCGTAGTGCCGCTGACCGGGCAAAATTTCCCCCATAGCACACTGTATGACGTATGCCCGTCTTCATTAGCCCATTTCGGAGCAGAACAGTAGGACGTTAAACCCCATTTCATTTCATTTCACCCTCTCTGTCTGTCTGTCTCTCTCTCTCTCTCTCTCTCTCAATAACGAACAGATAAAATACAGATTTTACCAAGACATTTAATAGCCATTTTAAGCACAGTTCACAAATACAAAGTTACACTTAAAATTAGAAATACATGTTAAAATTGGAAATACAATTAAACAAAAACATAATATTAAATTTATGTAGCTTAGCCTTATACAAATGACCTTGTGATGAATTTACCATAAGCTTTACAATTTGATTATTCTGTTTCTATCTTCAAGCCTTTTGAAAAAATTAAACATACAGTATGCAGGAGCTAAATCTGCCTATTGCAGGTCTTTCTTTAGGCCTTAAATGTTATCTAAATTATTAATAAGACATTAATTAACAGTTTTTCGAAAAATAATTAAACGTCATAATGGATAATCGAGACTTTTTTTCTTTAGTAATGATGATCGGGGCTAGCCTAAAATTCAAAAGCTAATATCACTTTTCAGAGGGAAGAAATTTGACTGAAATTTTCAACATATTCTATTTACATTATCTATTTTTTTTAACTATTATAGCAAGAACTGTCAACTCTTTATCTAATCTATCATAATGCTTTTTTAAGAAAAGATTCTAAATAATTTCACCGGTTATATGGTTTACAGCAATCTGATAAAAATATATCTATATTTCGTTTCGTTTTTTTTATACTTTCGGTGGCCTCTACTACATGAAGATCTGACCAGTTGTTTTGGGAGGTCGTATCAGAGGTCATACGAGCAGGTTTTGACCCTGTGACGTCAGACATTTGATTAACCAATCAACATTGATGTTTCTAGTCAATTACCTATATTTCCGTGCACCTCACGTCAAAAGATCGCCGTAACAGACCACCTCATTGGCTAATCCCCCACATCACCCAGAACACGTCAATGATAACAACTCTTCCAGATCTTAGTGTAGTAGACAAGTAAAATGAAATTTTGAACTATAAAAAACGAAACGAAATAGGGTCTGTTTTTAAAACAGATTGGGTTTCCTGTGAACTTTCATGGCATATCCTTTTAAAACAAAATCTAACATTTTGATCGGTATGATTTACAATCACAGTCACCATCGGGAAGTGAAATTGTAACTTTCTTGATTTGCCATGTCCATACCCATTTCCATCCCAAAAAGACTCGTACACGACAAAACGCCCAAACATTGTGTTTACTATATTTTGTTGGTCGACACAAGTTACGACGCCCATTTATTGGTTTGCATCCTGTTAGACATTCGTTGCATCTAAAATAAAACGAAAAAAATTTATTATTTGGTGTGTGGCGAGAAGAATGTGTGTGGGTGATGTGTGTGTGGGTGGTGTGTGTGTGGGTGGGGGTGGGGGGGCGGGGGTATTGTGTGTTATTAATTAATAAGTACTACAAAAACCACCGCCGTTTAGCATATTCCTGAAGCAATGGTCAGAGAGATCCGTCTCCGGCCATTGCTAGATTGGCGTCTGATACTTGAGTTTTTGAGTGAGTTTGTCTATTCTTCCCGTCCAATCAAATATATCCCAAGTACCATAGTGCGTTTCAGCGTTACTTGTAACAAGTGACCAGAAAAAACAAGGCTAGATATATTCAACAACTCGTGTCAAACGGTGACGCCATATCATTACTGGAGAGCATGCGCAATAGACTGGAATAACCAGACGCTAGAAATTGGTATTTTGTTGAGACTCATGCCGTATCTCACTGGACATAACTGATTTGAAATTAGAGTCAAAATGGAAACAATTGAATGTAAATCAGTTTATATACAATCAGATTACATTATTATATGCGTTGCGACCCATTTCGGTCAATTTCTAGGTCCCAAATATTAGCGATTTAGCACCTTTAAGGTATTAAAAACGGTGAAAGTATGTTCGTCTCCAAACAGTATTGTTTACATTGTTTTCGATTTGAGAGCCTCGTTTGTCACGCAATTAGTTTTTCTGCAATATTCTGCTATGCACTGGTTAATTGGGCATAATAAAATCGTGAGTCATGACGTAACGTTATGTAAACATATTTGGTCCAATTTGGATCTCTGTTTTAAGCGTAATGCTTTTGTAACGCAGTTAGCTATTGGTTATTAATCGGACCATTGACCAGTCATAATTTGGAAAAGAAATTTGCCTTCGTTAAAGCAGTGTTTAGTGGGTTTACGTATAATCAAACGAAACACTGCGAGGAGTATGCCGTTTAGTAACTTATCAGCTTATTTTTGTGCTCGCTATTGTTCTTGTGGATATGGATGTAATTTTGCGTTTAGAATAATGGTTGCCATGGTGATTCTGCTTTGTGTTTGGGCAGGTTCAGAAACACTGGCCGAAGGGTGTTGTACGGAATGTATGCTTACGTTTGTTGTGGACTAATATACTACAATAATAAAGGGGCGGATGCAGGAATTTTTGCAGGAGGGGGTTTGGCAGGCTCCTGTTAAGGAAATTTGACAGTTGTTGACAATACATGATCCCATCATTGTCTCTTAGTTATACGTATACACATTGAGCTATTTAAAGAGAGAAATCCAACACCCTGTTTTTATAATGAATTAATACGATCACATTGTGATTCAATTTCTTTGATTCAAAGCATTGATTGCGATATCGTCTATATCATTATTTCGCGCTTTGAATGCCAATCCCATCCCACCATCTGATGATAAAAGATAAAGAACACGACTGTGGCACTTTTCTCATAAAATGTTGTTTTACAATATTTTTTATATAGCTGAGCAGGGTGAGGTTTGGACCCCCTTCGACCCCCCCCCCCCATAGATCCACCCCTGTAGTTGATATTGGATTAAGTCCACCTTTCCTGTACGGCGTTTTAAATAAGTTTGCTTAAAGCCGCCATCGGTTGTATTGAAAGACACGAATAAATGTACTTACAGGCATCGGGTCGGGTATTTTCTCTGCCAGTTAGGAAAGATAACTCTGCAATATCCATCACTGTAAAAGGATGTCAACAATTCCCTTCTATGAGGACAAACATCTTGAGCATAATAGGAGTTAGCCGCCGGGTAATTAGGGCATGGGGTTTTTGCCAATTTTGCAGGTAAAGCAAGAATACTTCCAGTGGCTTCTGCCAATTCGACTCGGGCCAAGGCAGCTACACTTTCTGATCTCTTTGTCCTCAAACTAGATAAAAATATAAAAACATGGAGAAAAGGTAAATAAACAGTAAATTCATCATTTGGAGAGAGAGAGAAATGGGGTTTAACGTCCACTCGACACAAACTAGGTCATTTCGGGACTAACATATGGTTCAATTTTATTTCAATATTTCAGGCGACCATACTCCTTGTCACTTACAACCGGGGATTCGAAACCACGCCAGTTGACGCAATGACAGATCTTATGATACGGCGTGCACGTGCTAACCATTCGGCCCCCCCCCCCCAAAAAAAAATATAAAAAATCATCATTTATAGAAATACTTGAAAACAAAGTTACACTCAAAAGACCTAAATTATAGCAAATTCATATATGCATTGTATATATTCCCGTCTTCATTAGCCCAGTCGGAGCAAAAAAGTAGGACGTTAAACCCCATTTCATTTCATTTATGTTTCATCAACGGTTATTTTTAATTGAACATTTTCAAGATAATGCATTGTAAGCACCCATCTCACATCCTCGCACACGTTCCCACTTTATATTTCTGATCCGTCTACGACCAAGCATATCATACTTATTTGTAGTTAGAGATGAGTGACAATGACAACTGTCTAGTCGTTCGGATGGCCCCATAAAAGATCCCTTGGCAGTTGGAATTCGACATAAGAGTAGGCCATAATGCCGCTGCCCGGGCAAAATTGCTCTCACAGCACACTGTATGGGGTATGCCCGTCTTCATTAGCCCAGTTCGGAGCAGAACAGTAGGACGTTAAACCCCATTTCATTTCATTTCATTTAGTAGAGAGAGAGAGAGAGAGAGAGAGAGAGATGGGGATTAACTTACACTCGACACAAACTAGGTCTTTTAGGGACTAACACATGGTTTAATTTTATTTCAATAATTCGCTTGCGCGTAGAGGTCTTTAGCAGTGGGAGGAAACCGGAGGACCCGGAGAAAACCCACGAGGTTGGACAGGCAACCCTACTCTTTGTCACGTACAACCGAGGATTCGAAACCACGCCAGTTAACTCAATGACAGGCTTTATTTATGATACAGCATTTAGTATAGACTACTGTGGGTTTATCAAAACTCCGCTGCTGGCAGATTCGATCATATTATTAAAGATGCATTATACAAGAGCTAAATCTGCCTATTGCAGGTCTTTCTTTAGGCCTGGGCCCTTATTCACGAAAACTTAAACTAAGATAAAATTGAAATTTTAAGAAATACTGCAACTTCATTGGATATATGCAAATTGATTTTACTGGTCAGCCAATCGAATTGCAGTATTTCTTAAAATTTCGATTTTATCTTAGTTTAAGTTTTCGTGAATAAGGGCCCGGAAATGTTATCTAAATTATTAATTAGACATTAATTAACTTATCGAGACCATCATCAACTCTTGATGTCATCGATCAGGTTCCGATTTGCTGTTCGGTTTCCATTCATAATTTAATCATGAAATGGATAATCGAGACAGTTTTTTTTTCATCGTACCGACTTTAGTAATAATGATCGAGGCTAGGTCGAAAATTCAATCGCTAAAAATCTCGGTTCAGAGTGGATCAATTTGAATGAAATTTTCAGTAAATTGCCTTTACATTATCTAGGTTTTACCTATTATGGTAACAACTGTCAGCTCTTTATCTAATCTCCCATAATAAACTTCTACATACCTGGCGGAAGCATCCGCTGTTTCGTCGGATGCTAAAATTTTGGCCGCCATCTCGTCTGTTAGTGGTGTTGAATTTTCTGTATCCGCTGAGTTTATTTTCAAGGGGTCTTCTAAAACCGACGACGTTAGTTTACATATCGGTATAATTGGTTGTTTTACGAATGATGCATCAACAACTTTAACCTGGGCATTGGTAAGGGCAACCAGTATGGTTAGCTGTAATAAACGTTATAACATGACGAAGTAATAATAGAGAGAAAAATGGGGTTTAACGTCCACTCGACACAAGCCAGGTCATTTCGAGACTAACATATGGTTCAATTTATTTCAAAAATTCGCTTGCGCGTAGGGGTGTTTAGCGGTGGGAGGAAATCGGAGAACCCGAAGAAAACCCCACGAGGTTGGACAGGCGGTCCTACTCCTTGTAACGTCCAACCGGGGAATGGAAATGACAGACCTTATGATACAACGCGCACGCACTAATCATTCGGTCACCCCCCCCCCCCAATATCTATTTTCTTATATTTCGCCACATGCTTCTTTTTTTTTAACCTGTTATAAGGTTGTATTTATAACATTATAGTCAGAAATTAAACAACTGAACTATAAAAAACGAAACGAAATAGGATCAGATTGAGTCGCCACATGCTTCGTTTTTTAAGCTGGTATACGATTGTATTTATAAAACCGAGATAAAAAATAGAAATATATATTAACAAAAATAATCAACTAGAAATCTAGAAATAACAAAATATTTTCGTATATTTATATATTAACAAAAATAATCAACTAGAAATCTAGAAATAACAAAATCTTTTCGTATATTTATTTAGTTTTTTTTAAAAGTAGTAGAATTTTACAGTTTAATCAGTATTATTTACATTTGCAATTTACCGATGAAAATAACTACCAAATTATTATATAAAGTAAAATTTTACAATTTTAACTATGATAATTTGATTTAAAAAATTTTACATTAAACATACATTATGCAAGAGATAAATTTGCCTATTGCAAGTCTTTCTTTAGGCCTGAAATATTATCTAAATTATTAATAAGAGCATAATCAACTCTCGATGTCATCGCTAGCCTGCGATATTTACTGGGTTAGAATCGGATCGGCTGTTCAACGCTCATTGATGATTTAATGAAAAAATAGATCATCGAGACGATGTTTTTTATCCTACCGACATTAGTAATGATGCTAGAGGCTAGGCCTAAACTTCAATCGCTAAATTCTCGGTTCATAGTGGATCAATTTGACTGAGATTTTCAGCATATTCCCCTTACATTATCAAGTTTTTAACTATTATAGCGAGAACTGCCAGCTCTTTATCTAATCTCCCATAATGTATCTTTAATACACCAACTATTGTTATTCCATAAATAGTGTTTTGTGCGTATTCAAGTAGCTAAAACATTCATTTTATTGGTATAATTTACAGCTCCTATTTACCGACGAAAATAACTATCAAATATTATATAAGGTAAAATTTTACAATTTTAACCATGGTAATTTGACTTCAAAAAATTTACATTAATAAAAAACGAAACGAAATCAAGAAATAACAAAATCTTTTAGTATATTTATTTAGTTTTTTTTAAAAAGTAGTAGAATTTTACAGTTTAATCGGTATAATTTACATTTGCAATTTACCGAAGAAAATAATTATCAAATATTATACAAAGTAAAATTTTATAATTTTAACCATGATAATTTGACTTCAAAAAATTTACATTAATAAAAAACGAAACGTAACGAAATCTAGAAATAACAATATCTTTTCGTATATTTATTTATTGTTTTTTTTTTAAAGTAGTAGAATTTTACAGTTTAATCGGTATAATTTACATTTGCAATTTACCGAAGAAAATAATTATCAAATATTATACAAAGTAAAATTTTATAATTTTAACCATGAAAATTTGACTTCAAAAAATTTACATTAATAAAAAACGAAACGTAACGAAATCTAGAAATAACAATATCTTTTCGTATATTTATTTATTGTTTTTAAAATTTAATCGGTATAATTTACAGCGCCAATTTACCGACGAAAATAAATACCAAATAAATTATTATATAAAGTAAAATTTTACAACTTTAACCATGGTAATTTGCCATCAGAAATTTACATTAATAAAAAACGAAACGAAATACTCACCAGAATTATTCTTAACATCTTGAAATTCTTCTTCTTCTTCGAGTCTTGATTATCAAGTTAAGAAAAGTTGGAATCGAATGAAGTAATGATCCAATCTGTCCATATTTATATACTTTTGATGCTATCAAAACATCCAATGAAATTATTGATAATCCGAAAACTTTCCGTTATTGTCGTCAGTCATATCCGGGATGCTTTTTATTGGATATTGGAGATAATTTTTGTTTATTTTAGTAACACGGATATGGTCGAGCTCCGCCACTAAATTTGATTGGCTACGCGGTTTAAATGTATCGCTATTTGATTGGCTGAACAGGTAGGAACAGGTGTTTTTCTTTACACGGTCCATTGAACATTCACAAGTTTATTCATGCTATCATATCAAATATAGATTGTTACATTCAAAATGTCTTGATTTTACAAAGCGTGAAATGTAGGCCAATTATACAGTAAGGTAACGTACGATTAGCTACTATTGAAAAGGGCGTTTTCTCCACGGAGTATTTATTTATGAACCCACTTTCATGATCATGATAATAATAAAGTCTATTTCTTGTCTTTTAGGAGCGGTGCAGTTTTATACAATTAATTGTTTATAAATGAAATGAAATGAAATGAAATGGGGTTTAACGTCCTACTGTTCTGCTCCTATACTGAGCTAATGAAGACGGGCATACGCCACACAGTGTGCTATGAGGAAAACTTTGCCCGGACAGCGGCACTATCGCCTACACTTATATCGAATTCCAACTGCCAGGGGATCTTTTACGTGCATTCCAATATATATATATACGGGACCTCGGTTTTTCGTCTCATCCGAAGGACTAGACATCTGTCCTTGTCAGGCCCTCCGTCCTGCATCACTGACAAGGGGAAATCACGCCGGAAAATCTGGATGAACTTTCTCGGCTAATGCAGGGATCGAACACCCGACCAGTGTCTTACCCACTTAGCCACGTGATCCCCTAATTGTTTATAAATAAGTAAATAAAAAAAACGTGATGGTAGTGTATCTTCGTATATATTTTAATATAGTAATTGACCAATGTCCGAATTGATATCTCATCAATCGTTCAAGTCTTTTAATTGTAACCAAGGCCGTGGATTTGTCATAACTTTTGAGGAGGGGGGGGGGACAACCCCTGGAACCTGGAACATTCCATTACCAAACCAAAATAATAATTACGAACAACTGTAACTAGGGGTAATATGATGACGATATGGAAAAATTGACTACCTACATCAAAGCTGCACAAATTGTTCATGAAGTTAAAGGAATCGTCCAAAGAGGTTCATTAAACGATCAGGACTATTTCTCTATGAATTTCAGAACGGGACATTCATGTGGATATAGGGGGATTGGATGGCTGAATGGTTAGCGTGCGCGCTGTATCATAAAGTCTGTCATTGAGTCGACTGGCGTGGTTTCGAATCCCCGGTTGTACGTGACAAGGAGTAGGATCGCCTGCCCAACCTCGTGGGTTTTCTCCGGGTCCTCCGGTTTCCTCCCACTGCTAAAGACCCCTACGCGCAAGCGAATTATTGAAATAAAATTAAACCATATGTTAGTCCCGAAATGGCCTAGTTTGTGTCGAATGGACGTTAAACCCCATTAATTTAATCCTAAGCTTTCATATTATATATGTTCTATATTCTTCTGTAACTTTAGTCTGGTTTGGACACTCTTTTATTAAAAGTACAATTTTAACTATTTATCTCAGTTTTCGTCGATAGTGTTGGAATAAGCTACAACCCCCAGAAAACAGCATGTCGGCAGTAGTTTTAGCATGTATTTGACGTCAACAATATATTTCTTTTGCAGCATTAAATGTTTAGTACGAAGGTCCATTAGGGCCAAAAAAAAAAAAAAAATAAAAAAATATTAACCCTTTTGAACGAATTAGTATCTCCTTTGAACGAATTAGTATCTCATTTGAACGAATTGGTATCTCGTTTGAACGAGTTAGTATCTCGTTTGAACGAGTTAGTATCTCGTTTGAACGAATTAGTATCTCGTTTGAACGAATTGATATCTCCTTTGAACGAATTAATTATCTCGTTTGAATTAATTAATTCGTTCAAACGAGATACTAATTCGTTCAACGGAGATAATTAATTCGTTCAAACGAGATACTAGTTCGTTCAAACGAGATACTAATTCGTTCAAACGAGATACTAATTCGTTTAAACGAGATATTAATTCGTTCAAACGAGATAATTAATTCGTTCAAACGAGATAATGAATTCGTTCAAACGAGATACTAACTCGTTCAAACGAGATACTAACTTGTTCAAACGAGATACTAATACGTTCAAACGAGATAATTAATTCGTTGAAACGAGATAATTAATTCGTTCAAACGAGATACCAATTCGTTCAAACGAGATACTAACTCGTTCAAACGGATTAATATTTTTTTTTGGCACTAATAGGCCTTCGATGTTTAGTAATTTAGAGACCATAATTATTCTTTTCGGTTAGACAACGTTTTATTTTCATTTATAGTAGAATATAAAACATTAAAATGCTCTTGGTAATTCTAATACAATACTGCCTACAAACATGAGAGTTTCACTTTCACCAATGAGAGAGAGAGAGAGAGAGAGAGAGAGAGAGAGAGAGAGAGAAGAGAAAGAAAGAGGGAGAGAGGATTTAACGTCCACTTGACACAAAGTAGGTCATTCGGGACCAATATATGATTGAATTTTATTTCAATAATTCGCTTGCGCGTAGGCGTCTATAGCAGTGGGAGGAAACCGGAGGACCCGGAGAAAACCCACGAGTTTGGACAGGCGACCCTACTCCTTGTCACGTACAACCGGGGAATAGAAACCGCCCCAGTGATCGAACACCCGACCTCCAGGCTAGCGAGCCAGCGTCTTATCCACTTAGCCACTGTGACCCCACTCCCCTCCCCACGAATCAAGCAAAATTAAAGAATAGATACATATCCAATTGTTCACAAAGAAAATCCATTAAAGATACATTATGGGAGATTAGATAAACATCTGACAGTTGTCACTATAATAGTTAAAAACTAGATAATGTAAAGGGAATATGCTGAAAATTTCAGTCAAATTGCTCCACTCTGAACCGAGATATTAGCGATTGAATTTTCGACCTAGCCTCGATCATCATTACTAAAGTCGGTACGATAAAAAAACATAGTCTTGATTATCCATTTCATGATTAAATGATGAATTTTAGTCCTAGTCGGTACGATAAAAACATAGTCTTGATTATCCATTTTTGGATTTAATCGTCAATGGGCGTTAAGCAGCTCATCGGATTCAAATCCAGTAAAAATCCGACACATAAGATGGCATCGAGAGTTGATTAAGGTCTTTTTATGTCAATAAATGTCTAATTAATAATTTCTATAACATTTCAGGCCTAAAGCAAAACCTGCAATAGGCAGATTTAGCTCTTGCATAATGTATGTTTAAGTCATTTTTTACAAGCAAATTTTGATTTTACGTCGTCATCTTCAATTGTCTGCATTTCGCAAATAATAATTATTATGGAATAATTGCAATCAGGGGGCCATATTTTATCGAATAATACAAAACAATCCATGAGTAATCTATAATGAAAATTAGACTTTGACCGGGCTGTAAGAATAAGCCAAATGAATAAAAATAAAATCACTATTTCCTGTTGCCGTTGGGTATAATGTTTGTGTGAATATGTAGAGAAAATAGTTTGAACCAATCGTAGTGTTTAAGACTTAGAGGCAAATAAAATACGGTTTTATTATGAATAATATTTGTATAACTTAGTAATGCGTATGAAAGTAACTTTTGACAGACATATAAAGTAAATTGTCTATTTACCCATATGAAAAAAAAACCCCTATAGCTTGCAGTTAAAATGCGTTCTCATTCTAGTATTTTGTTTAATTAAAGGTACATTATGGCAGATTAGATAAAGATCAACAAAGCGCCCTCAACGCCATTCGATCAACAACAGAAGACCATTGCAGGTCATGTATCCGGAATATTTAACAAGAGAGAGAGAGAGAGAGAGAGAGAGAGAGATGGGGTTTAACGTCCACTCGCACTCGACACAAACTAGGCCATTTTGGGACTAACACATGGTCCATTTTATTTCAATGATTCGCTTGTGCGTAGGGGCCTTTAGCAGTGGGAGGAAACCGGAGGATTCGGAGAAAAACCAAGAGGTTGTACAGGCGACCCTATTCCTTGTCACGTACAACCGGAGAATCGAAACCACGCCAGTTGACTCAATGACAGACTTTATGATACAGCGCGCACGTGCCAACCATTCGGCTATCCAACCCCCATCGATCAACAAGACGCGGATCAGGCTGTCAGTTAGTGACACGTTTACATTTATGTCCGGTGGGGACTGCAATGATTTGGAGAGGCAAACATTATTAGTCAGTTATCGCTAATATTTGGGACCTAGAAATTGACACAAATAGGTCGCATTGTATATACTAATGTAATATGAATGTATATAAACTGATTTACATTCAATCGTTTCTGTTTTTACCCTAATTTCTAATCTGTTATGTTCTTCGAAATACGCCAGAAGTCTCATTCGAATGGCTATCTCTAGCGTCTGGTTATTCCAGTCTACACCGATAGTATTTATTGCGCATGGTCTCCAGTTAAGAATATGACGTCACCGTTTGACATGACTTATAGAATACGTCTAGACTCGTTCTTCGAGTCCCTTGTTATAAATGGCTCTGAAACGTTTATTTTGTCTTAAATATTGGATATCAGAAGCCCTTCTTTTCCCGGTAAGATCACAGCATCAATGTTGATTTAAATTGACGGTAGCAAACGCGTTTTCCTGGTGCAAATCGTGATAGTGTTAACTTAGCGTTAAGACGGGTGTATTAACATCTTCTGTTTTTGTGTAACTACATATTTTAACACCTCACTGGTTTGCACAAATAAAAAAACGCCTTAACATGTGTAAAAGCCAAATAGATATTTGAGTAACGTCCTTGTTGAATAAGTATGTCAATAATAATATAATAATATATAATATATAAAGACGATACGGTGTGTGAAAATGTATACGTATGTCTAACATCAACGATAAATATATAGTTGGTGTAAT